GAATGGCAAAAGCTGATTCCAAATCATTAGTTCTTATTCTGCTGGATCTATCTGCTGCTTTTGACACTGTCAATCACCAGATCCTCCTGTCTGCCCTCTCATCACTGGGCATCACAGGGATTCCACTTTGCTGGTTTGAATCCTATCTCACTGGTAGGTCTTTCAGGGTGGCTTGGGGAGGGGAGGTATCCAAAGCACATCACCTTGTCACTGGGGTTCCTCAGGGATCAGTTCTTGGACCCCTCCTCTTCTCCATATACACAACATCACTGGGTCCCATCATACAGGCACATGGCTTCTCCTACCATTGCTATGCTGATGACACACAGCTCTATCTCTCATTTCAACCAGATGATCCAACGGTAGCTGCACGGATCTCAGGCTGCCTGGCGGACATCTCGGCATGTATGAAAGAATATCACCTACAGCTCAACCTGGCAAAGACTGAGCTTCTTGTCTTCCCTGCCACTCCAACTCTACAGTATGATTTCTCCATCCAGCTAGGTTCTTCTACAATTACCCCATCGACTTCGGTCAGAAATCTTGGTGTAATCTTTGATGACCAGCTGACCTTCAAAGACCACATTGCAAAGACTGCTTGATCTTGCAGGTTTGCATTGCACAACATCAGAAAGATCAGGCCCTTTCTAATGGAGCATGCTGCACAACTTCTTGTCCAGGCCCTTGTCATTTCTAGGCTGGACTACTGCAATGCTCTTCTGGCTGGACTTCCATGAAGCACAATCAAACCTCTACAAATGATTCAGAATGCAGCGGCACGACTGGTTTTCAACGAGCCCAAAAGAGCCCATGTTATACCTCTCTTTATCTCCTTGCACTGGCTACCGGTTGCGGCTCGCATCAAGTTCAAGACATTGATGCTTGCATATAGAACAGCCACAGGCTCAGCACCCGCCTACTTCCACTCACTACTACGAATCTATGTCCCCTCCAGAAGTCTGAGATCCGCTAGTGAGCAACTTCTCGTGGTACCATCACAGAGAGGCTCAAAAATCACTTTCCAGAACATTCTCGTTCACCGTTCCTGGCTGGTGGAATGATCTTCCCACCCCTATCCCGTATGCTGAATCCCTGACAATTTTCAAGCGACAGCTGAAAACTCATCTCTTTAAACGCTACTTGACTTCATCTTAAAAAAAAAAAAAGTATTTCTCTTTATTTATTCCTTACCTTTCTAGCTTGTACTTATTTGAACAATGCCTAAAACGTGGTATTACAAGCACTTCCTGTGTCTGTTTGCCTCTTTAAGAAGAATCGCTTTATGTATTCCCCAGTTGTAAGTCGCTTTGGATAAAAGCGTCTGCAAAATGAATAAATGTAAATGTCAACATTCAAAACAATGAAGGGGTATAACAATATATTGTGTCACAATATATAGTAATACTAAAATGCATAATACTTAAAATGCAAACCCTCTTCTGAAAAGGGGTCGGGAGCACCAGCTCATTTGCATTTAAAGGGACAAAGACAAAAACGGCATGTTTTAGCTCATACCCTAAAATTGGCAACCTAAACAAGTGATACAAATTATCTGTAAGGTATTTTGAGCAAAAACTTCACATACACACTCTGGGGACATCAGAAACTTATTTTAAATCTTGTAAAAAGGGGCATAATAAGTTCCCTTTAAGACATTACTGCCACTATAAGAGGTCAAATACTGAAGTTTGAGTCTTGCACCCTTTTAACTCTTACCCCGCTAGCGTTTTTGAAAAAAGTTGCCAGCCACTGCCACAAATTTTCACTAAAATTTCATGGCCCCCAGAATATTTTGTATAAATATCTGAACATGCAACACATCAAAATAAAGAACAGACCCTCTACTTTAAACAAAACAATTTATCCTGGCTTCAAGCATTATTTTTTTTATAAATACTTGAATGTAGGTAGGTTTCATAAAAAAGCAACATTTTGAGCAAAAAGCTGAGAAAATCAAATTTTTATCCAATACTACATCTGGATCATATTCAGTAATATTATCAAAGCAAAGATGCAGTAGATGGCTTCCATCAGTACTCCCAAAGCTTGCACAGGCCACCACTTTCTGGATCCACATTTCATTCTGTAACAATAGGCGGTTTTCATTTATATGCTGTTTATTGTTGATGATCACATTATTTTTCATATGCATATGCTCGTTTATGCGTCTTCCTTTTCTGTGTTTTTGTTCGAGTGATTCTAAACTCATTCAGGAGATGCGTAATACCGCCCCCGAGCGTATAACTGCGAGAACATGAAACCCTGGAAAATTCTGTTTGGAGGGGAAAGAGTTAATGATACATAGTTTGTTGAGGTAATTACAGCAGCTTACATTAAAACTTATGTAAACAAAGAACATTTCAGTGCATCCTCCTGAAGGTTAACAGGTTAAAACTTTTTAGGATCCTTCAGGCCATTGTGCCGATGACCCATACTGAGTATTGTAAAGACACGCTAATGCATTCAGAAAAATACAGTATTTTACAAAAAAATTAAAAGTGGCTAATGGCCAAAATAGTCGATATATTTCTTCATCATGTCTGTTAGGACAGAATCTCTATGCAAGAAATGCTTTTGCGCTGCTGCTGTTGCACTTCTGGATCTGAAGATGATCTAGTTACCGTGATTGTGACCGTAGACTAGATAATCGATCAGACTCTGATGTGGTTTCCTAGTGTGAATCCTTTCATGAGTTCCCAGACTTTCATCCAGATTATCTCGTTTTGCAGTGTGAATACTTGACTTTTTTTTTTTCCCCAGTGCGACTTATCTGTTGCTTTTTCAGATAGAAAGCCTGAGCAGCTTCCTTCCAGTGTGAACTCTCATGTGAATCTTCAGGTGCTTCATCAGGTCTAAAAGAAACATTAAATCAAGTGAGATTTCAAATGAGAGACAAATGAGAAATGTAAAGTAAAGCCCAAAGTCAAGATCACTGATGAGTTCAATAGTCATTTTAATCCCATCAAATCTGGTCGACAACTGCTGTGCACGATTATGATTTAGTACGATTTTTACTTTAATGTCATGAAAACAATTTGTGTTATAAATCACTACTTTGGTCATGAAACTCTAGATGGCACAGGTTTGACATGTAATCTGTAAGCAATCACAACAGCCCCTTTCACACAGATTCCAGAAAGTACACTGATAATAGGCGCTTTCACACCGTGTAGTTCTAGGAACTAGCCAGCAGGGTGGTTTCTAGAGAACCAATTTTCCCTCGGGCGGTTCTCCTGGTTGTATTCGCACTGGCAGCAGGAACTCTGAAGCAGCCGACCGTGACATCTTTATTCACGGCATTTACAAACATCAACAACCAGTGAATGGAGGATGCTGTGATCGGAGTTGTTTTTGTTTTGTCTTTCGTGATAACGAAGATGTTATGTAAACGCACAATTTACACGATTGAGAGAGCAAGAAAATCTGCCTAAATCTCATGACAACTTGCAGTGTTACATATTACCGAGAGAACAGGTGAATGCCATTACAGCTGTTTTCCATGTTCCGTGGAGTAAATGTTTACATGGCTTTTTAAAAATGCGGGGTAGCCAGTGTTTCATGTGCATGTGGCCAATCAGCACACACTGCGTCACTGGTAGTTCCTATAGAACTGTTTTAGACCCTACTCTGAAGTAGGAGCTAAATTAGTTCCCCCAAACTGAGTTCCTAGAACTAAAACCGTTCCTAGTTCCTGTGGTGTGGACATACCAAAAAGCATTAATTTCCGCCAATAGGTCTAGGAACTATGAAAAGGTTCCTCCGGAACTCCTTACGCCATTGGTCCTGACTTTTGTTCACACAAAGCACGTTCCGAGACTGATCCTAGCAAACTCAATAGGTCCCCATCATTGGGATTGATCCCAAAATCAATCCCAGAATGTGTTTGCGTTCACACAGAAGGCACTCTAGTAAATCTATGGCATTTTTCTGGAATCAGTGATCTGTGTGAAAGGGCAATTATTTTCTACATGGCACAAGTTGATTGGCCACTATGCTATGCATAAGACAAACAAATATGTGCGAATAAAGAAGGTGTGGATCTTCTGTGGATCTTCTCATGTGTTTTCAGATTTCCTAACTGACTGAATGTCTTGTCACAGTGTGAACACTTGTAAGGTTTTTCTCCGGTGTGAATCCTCTGGTGCAGTTTCAAATGTCTCGCTGTAGTAAAAGTCTTCCCACACTCAAAGCACAAGTACTCTCTCACATCAGTATGAATTTTCTGATGTACATGCAAACTCCGCAGCAGTGAAAAACTCTTTCCACACTCAGAACAGGAATGTGGCTTCCCCTTCGTATGAACTACCAGATGTGTCTTTAGACCTGATGACCAATGAAATGTTTTGCCGCACTGATCACACTTGAATGGCTTCTCTCCGGTGTGAATCCTCATGTGAGCAGTAAGACTGTTTTTGTTTGAGAATCTCTTTTCACACTGATCGCACATGAACGGCTTCACTCCGGTATGGATCCTCATGTGAAACACAAGAGTATTGTTGTGTGTGAAGCGCTTTTCACATATATCACATGAGTACGGCTTCTCTCCTGTGTGAATTCTCATGTGTACTCTAAGGTTTGTTGATTGTGTGAAACTCTTCCCACACTGACCACACGGGAACGGCTTCTCTCCGGTGTGAACTCTCATGTGAAACTCGAGATATTGTTTGGTTGAGAAACTCTTCCCGCACTGATCACATGAAAACGGCTTTTCTCCAGTGTGGATTTTCATGTGTTTCTTAAGGGTTCCCTTTTCCTTGAATTGATTTCCGCACTGATTACACGTGAATGGCTTCTCTCCAGTGTGAACTCTCATGTGTTCTTTAAGTGTTCCTTGTTGTGCGAAACTCTTCCCGCACTGATCACACGTGAATGGCTTCTCTCCAGTGTGAACTCTCATGTGATACTTAAGACTTTGTTTGTGTGAGAAACTCTTCCTGCACTGATCACATGGGAACTGCTTCTCTCCAGTGTGAACTCTCATGTGATACTTAAGATAATGTTTGGTTGAGAAACTGTTCCCACAATGATCACATGTAAACGGCTTTTCTCCAGTGTGGATTGTCATATGTTTTTCAAGGTTTCCTTTTTCTGTAAATTGATATCCGCACTGATTACACGTGAATGGCTTCTCTCCAGTGTGAACTCTCATGTGACACTCAAGACTTTGTTTGTGTGAGAAACTCTTCCTGCACTGATCACATGTGAACGGCTTCTCGCCGGTGTGAACTCTCATGTGACGCTCAAGACTATGTTTATTTGTGAAACTCTTTCCACACTGAGTGCAGGTGATAGATTTATTGGCTTTTCTTTTCTTTAAAAATGTATTTTTAGTCTTTGAGCGGCTCAAAGGTTTATCTGCAGGTTTGACATGATGTTCCTCCTCCACTTCACTCAGTTCTTCACTCTCCTCGCTCTCTTCCATCAGCTCTGAAATGAAAAAAAAAATCACTTTAAATAAGCCAAAATTCATAGAGAGAAATATTAAAATGAGTCCTGATGTAATAGCAGAAACAAGACAGCTGCTGTAAAATATTATGATTCTAGTGCGTTTTTATAAATTAATTGAATGACTGAGGCACAAATGTAATTTTTTTGTAGTGACTACTATCAATCATCTAATGTTATGATGAAGGGACCAAACAGATCTCGCCCCCCATTTACTTCCATAGCAGGAAATATAGTAGAAAAATAAATACTATAGCAGTCATTGGGGGGGCAATATATGTTTGGTTACTGACATTCTTCCAAATATCTTCCTTGGTGTTCAGCAGAACAAAAAAATGTATACAGGTTTGGAACAACCTGAGGGTGAGTAAATGATGGCAGAATTTACATTTTTGGGGGAGATATCCCTTTTGCTTAAAATATATCAAAAAACACAATGTTGTAAACTATATATTTAACTTTATCTAAATGTGATTAAGTGCTAGACGCTTTCTAACATGAATGTTCTTCAGCATCATAAATAGGGTTGCAAAGGGGTGGAACATTTCTGGGGGAACTTAATTTTGGAAATATTCCAAGTTGGACACTTAATGAGAATTTACAGGAGTTAAAGGGAATTCATTGGAAATTTGGTTTAATTTATACATCAAATAAATTACTGAATAGATTTCATAGACTTTGGGACCAGTTGCTAAATGACTAGAGAAGATAAATTATTTCTGATATAAAGGCTAGCAGCTAGTTAAGGGACAGTTACCAAAAATGAAAATTCTGTCATCAATTACTCAGCCTCAAGTTGTTCTAAAACGGAATGAATTTCTTTGTTCTCCTCAACACAAAATATATTTTGAAGAATGCTTGTAACCAAAGAAAAAATCTGGTCCCCCATTGACTCCCATAGTATTTTTTTTTTAATTCTATGGAAGCCAATGGGGCCCAGCAACTAGCTACCAATATTCTTCAAAATAAGTTTTTTTTTTTTTGCATGTTCAACAGAAAATAGAAACTCATACAGATTTGAAACAATATGAGGGTGACAGAACTATGACAGAATTTTCATTTTTGAGTAAACTATGCCTTTAACAACAATTTTGTCACATATATACAGTTAACACAACCAGTGAGGTTCAGTCTTGTACACTGGTCAGTTTTCTTTGCATTAAATCTGGTTGTTTTAACCAAGATTATGCTGCAAGACATTTTTTTCAACTATATTTAATTTTCCTGTTATAGGCTAACATACTGTAACATTTCCAGTTTATTCCCTTTAATTCCCATTAACTCCCGTTAATTCCCATGGAAGTTTTCCAACTTTGAATATTATCAGAATTTTTCATCCCTAATAAACACCAACCTGTTTGTTCTTCAGTATCTTCAGTGTGTTTGATTCTGCAGGGTTCTGGATCTCTCATCTTCTCTCTGTCCTCTTTAATAAACTCAGTCTTTGCAGATTTCAGCTCTTCCTGATGTGTTGATGCTCGTCTGCACTTGTAAACTGATGGGAATATTCTAGCATTTATTGCTGAACTGCAGTGGGAGGAGCTTCCCTGATGATGAATTCCAGTGTGGGAGGAGCTGATCTGCCAAACTCAGAAATATATCACTTACTGACTTTGTTTTTATAGGGCCAGAGACCAGGGGGCTGTTTCATAAAACAAGTTTACCAAATAAGCCAGGCTTATTTCAGTTAGTCTGACTTATTTTTACTTGATTTGGTTTCATAAAGCAAAATTACCATAGCTCAAGCTCAGTCACTCTGGCAACTTATGCTGAGAAACTAACCTGGTCCGGGGCAGGCTAAAGGCCCCGATATACTTCAAATGAAGTTCGTTTTCATTCTCCGTTTGGGGGCAAAAAGAAGTTTGAAAAGGCTGAGCGACGGTATACTGTTTCCTAACTTTCCAACACCCCTGCACTGCTGGATTTTGCACTGTGTAGATTCTCGCGCATATCCCCTAAACACAGCAACGATGAAATGAAGAAGTGTAGGCAATCTAGGTGTGAGACGGGCACCAATGGTCAGAATATTATAGACAAAAGAATAATGATTAGCAGCAGTTCAGAGTCAAGTATCATGTTTGCAATACAAAAGAACCATAACATTTCCATAATCAGTCCTTTATGGGAAGTGAAGTGTGAATGGCTCATAGTCTGAAAACTGTAGCATGATGTGGAAAAAAATATTGGAGTCAGTTTGTTACTTTATTTTATTAGTGTTCATTTATTTTATTAAACTGGATAAATTGTTACACCTTTTTATATTTTATGTGGTGTCATGACTTACTTTTGATAAAAACAAAGGTTTATTATTGTATATTCGTTTTGGCTTTCTCTTGCGCTGATTGGATAAATGGTGTAATCACTAATGATGAACTGGCCGAGTTAATTATCTGTGCGTGCTCCTCCTGAAATTTGTTTGTAAACATCACTTCACGAGTTCACACTTTCTTATAATTAATAAAGGTTATGCGTATTTGGCGTGCTGTCCAGGGAGAGGGCTCCGAGCTCGGCAAGACTCCCGAGCCCGGGGCACCCCCCCCTGTCCAGGGAGGGATGGGTAGGGGCATGGCGGAAGGAAGGGCAGGCATGCGAGAGGTAGGAGGAAAGATAGCTGCCGGGACCGCTTGCGGAGGCGTGCTCACGCTTGGGGTGGCTCCGGGAGCGGAAGAAAGAGGGGGAAGAGAGGGGGAATGGTGGGCGTTGGGGAAAATACAGGTAAGGCTCCTGCGGGAGCAGACACTGCTGTGGCAGTAGGGAAATACAGATGAGGTTCCTGCGGGAGCGGACACTGCTGCGGAGGTAGGAGGGTACCTGCGGGAGCAGTCGTTACTTGAGGCAAAAGGGGCGATTGAAAACTCCTGCAGGAACGGGGTGCTAAATGGAGATGGGCAGACTAGGGAAAAAGGGGGGGGCTGATGAGGGTTTGGTGGGCTTCCTTGATATGTGAGCGGTCAGATCGGATGTAGTTTTTAAAGGCTTCTGATGACCAGCGACACGCTCAGAGGATCGGGAGATGTTTGCTGCTGGATCAGGTGCGCGGCCCAGGCTTGCCGAAGGCCTTCTGCTGCGGCCAGATAGTCGGAGGCTCGTCCTTGGTGGCGTGGTAGTTGGATCAGGCCGTGAATAAGGAGCACTGCGGCCCCGGTTTGTTTTGTCCTTTGCTTTGGACGGAGGAGTGGAGATTGGAAGTGGCGCCCCCGCCTGGAGCGAAGCGTAGAGGGCTTGTAGCTCCGCCTTGTTCATACGGTGAGGAGCGAGGATGCCAGCGTTTGAGAGTGCTTGGCGTAACTTTGGCACGGTCCATTTCTCCGTAGCTGGAGCGGAGGAGAGAGCCGAGGCATAGGAGGACGCTGGAGAAGGTGGCTGACGCCTGGAAGGTGAGGGTGAAGGAGAATCTCGGCGTCTGAAGGTATGAGTGGCGGCGATGCGGGAAGGCCGGCGGCCCCGAGGTGCAGCCGCGGGCTCAGTTGGGGTGTCCTGCGGAGCGCTGGCGCGCTGAACGTCGGCTGTAGATGCGGGAGGAGCTGTGCTGTCGAAGGTGTTTTCCTCAGGGAACAATTCGGTCTCGGACATCATGCGGCGATTGGATGTACCAATGCTGAAAGTCGAGAGATAACGAAGGTAGGGCGTACTTGGTTATTTATGGGAGTTTTCTCTTGTGCTGATTGGATAAATGGTGTAATCACTAATGATGAACTGGCCGTGTTAATTATCTGTGCGTGCTCCTTCCGAAATTTGTTTGTAAACATCACTTAATTTACTGTATACCCTTTAAATTCGCTTATTGAAAGAACAGCAGCAGTATGGGGTAACATTTATTTGAAACACATGCATTTGGTACTTGCTACCATATATCTTTACTCTTTCCTTTCATTCTTTTCATGGCTTTGGAAAACTTGTCTCGGATGTTTCTCTACGTCGCTTTTTGCATAACTCCGGGTCGTCGACACCAAGCTTCGTTGCAATTTCTTTCTAGGAATTAAATGCTTTCTCTAAATCTTTAAAGTCTCTCCGCGAGCGATCGTTCAGGTGCGGATATATTTGTGCCAGCTGAGCTATTCGACACTCCAGTGTGTTCATGTTGCTAGTGGAATGAGAAACGAACCGGGAAAAAACAATTGCACGTCAAAGAAGGTGGAGTTCCAGAACACATCCACTGATTGCGTAATTGTCACGGACCAATGGAAGCTCAAATATGTTTAGGAGCCAAAACGAACTCCCCCAGAATGTTCACTTTGGTCAGTTCGTTCTTCGATTTTGTTTGAAGTATATCGGGGCCTTAACTGTCAGGATAAGCTGAGTTCCTCTAATGGGAGTTTACACGTCACATTTTGGTAACGGTACGGTTCACTTGGAACCCCAACCGAAGTGGTACTAAAAAAGTACCCGGTACTGTGCCCAGTGGAAAACCCTCCAAAAGTGAACCGTACCGAGCCGTATCGTGTCGTACCATCCAGTGGAAAAGCGCCATAACACTGACCAATAGGAACTCATTGATATTACGGCGCTGACTCTCTCACATACAATTATTTGAAGTTATCAGTTCAAAAATAGAAGTATACAGAAAATGTAACTTAAATAAAAATTTAGGCTACAACCGACTGTATTTAATGTATCATGCCCAAGATTTAATGACTTTGTTTTAAGATATTTGAAAACATTTTAACATGCTGCTACTTGCGCATTCAGTTGATCAGCCTTTCTCTCTGGTATTATGACAGCTGTACCTTTTATGGTTATTAGTAGAACATTAAAACATTACAATATAAAATTGCACTTTAAAACATAAAAAACACTAAATTAAAAGATAAAATCACTAAATGAAAAATGAAAACAAATAATATAAAACAGACTATATTTTATATGATAAGAGGAATACACATTAACTCATTTGAGCTAGTAATTAGGGTTGTATTAGCTAGCTTACATTTGATTTACAGTTACTGCTATGATAAAAATACACTTATATGTAGGATTAAAATTGTACGTGTCACATTTAATGTCCAACAACAAATATTTTAGCAGAATTATTGCGCTATTATTCTATTGCTCCGTCTGTTTAGCGTGCATGCGCGCAGCAGCGCTCGTTCACTCACGTAAGCCTCGTCACTCCTTACAGTAAAATGGATATATTTGCATGACTTTCTAACATTTACAGATGAAGAATATACCTGTGACATGTCAGTTATGCACTGAGGAAAACATAACGTCTCAAATGCATTAAACAGGCCAGATATATTCGCTGTTTGCCATGTTGGATCGATTTGATCCATGATCGACATTAAGAGCTGCTTAAGAATAAGCGTTCACATCAAATTATCCTGACTCATTGAATCTGGATCAAATTAGTGAGATTGCGTGAACTTAAATTATCGTTTATGAAACCGCTTTGGTCCCGATTGATTTGTTAGGTAATTTCAAGTCAGGTTTTGGACTTTAATCCCCGCTTTTCTTAGCGTCTTTTATGAAACAGCCCCCAGATGTCAAATTTTAGTATCTGCATCCAATTAAATGTTATTTTTTTTATTTAAAAATGAAACAGCATAGTTATTCTGTACAGTACAATATATAAAAGAATCAGAGATCATACTAAATTTGATTATATTTAAAAAAATTATTGCTGACAAATGAGTAAAACCTAGTAGGTTGAAGGACAATGTCAAAGTATAAAGATAAAAAAAATGACAATTAATGAGTATTTTTTTTCTTTCGCTATATAAACTGTAACAGAGATGCTGGAGTTTGGTTAGAATCCATGAGCGGAAGTTTATTAAAGGTCAAGGCTTTAAACAGATGTCGATAATCAGGCAGAGGGTCAAAGTTAGAGAAGCAAGCAGATCGTTCGTCGTACACAAGGGCAGAAGCAGAGACAATAGTGGAGAGGCAGGCAATGAGTCCAAACACAAACATCAGTCCTATCAGGCGTCAGAACAAAAGGGGCAGAGTACAAATACCGTGAGTCAAGAAGTCAGGCAGAATCATACACAGGAAATCAATCAGGAACAGAGGAAGAATAACGCTTGGTAAGGCAGGTAAACTGGCAATACTTCGCAATCAGCATATGGACTGGTCTCAGTTTATATGAGAGTCAAACAGGAAGTGAAAGCAGAGGAAGCAGAGGGAGTGGAGCACGGTCAGTACTCGGGCGAGGGCTCCCTCTGCTGGCTTGGCGTTACACACTCTAATCTTATAAGATGTAATGTACGGAATAGCCCACCAGATACTGGAGCTGACCCCCTCTTCGTCTCGAGTCCAGTAACACATTCACCCTATATGCCGGAGTTCCATCAAAGTCCAGTGGTGGTGGTGGTGGTTCTGGGGCTTCATGGCCAGGGTCAGCTCTCGAGTGGACGGGTTTGAGAAGGGACACATGGAAAGAGGGAGAGATACGATAGTGGGAGAGTTGGCCAGCCCATACGGCATTACCTGATATTCATAGTGCACCCTAGTGGTGAGAAAAGCTGTTTTCCATTCATCCCCTTCTTGGATTCTGAGGAGATTATATGCACTTTCGAAGATCGAGCTTGGTGTAGATTTTAGCTTCTCTGAGTTGTTCTAGTGCTGATGGCAAACGCTTGGTAAGGCAGGTAAACTGGCAATACTTCGCAATCAGCACATGGACTGGTCTCAGTTTATATGAGAGTCAAACAGGAAGTGAAAGCAGAGGAAGCAGAGGGAGTGGAGCTCGGGCGAGGGCTCCCTCTGCTGGCTTGGCGTTACATAAACCCATTTTTGTCTTTGACCCATATACTAATTGACAAATGTAAGCATTTATCTGTCTGTGCATCGTAAAGTAACTAATGCTAATTCACATTATTTGTATTCTTCATTAAAATAATGGCATATATCTAGAAAAATAAAGAACTGTATAAAAAGCATTTGAAAGCTTAGACACAAATGAATGTGCATATCTGTAAGCATCAAATTGCCTACCTTCTGTTGACACCAATGAAACAAGCTTTAAAGGGGTCATATGATGCGATTTCATTTTTTCCTTTCTCTTTAGAGTGTTACAAGCTCTTGGTGCATAAAGAAGATCAGTAAAGTTGCAAAGACTAAAGTCTCAAATCCAAAGAGATATTCTTTATAAAAGTTAAGAGTTAGTCACACCTACCTAAAACGGCTCGTTCGAACACGCCCCCACATACAGTGGGGCAAAAAAGTATTTAGTCAGCCACCAATTGTGCAAGTTCTCCCACTTAAAAAGATGAGAGAGGCCTGTAATTTTCATCATAGGTATACCTCAACTATTCAACAGTATGGTGAGGGGCGTAACATTTCCGTCTCACGCTTGAGGTATTTGGCCAATCACAACGCACTGGATAGCTGGCTAATCAGAGCACACCTCGCTTTTCAGACTGATGAGCTTTGTAAAAATCGACGCGTTTAAAAAAGGCGGGGCATAGAGGAGAAACAATAATGTACAGTATGTGGAAAATAATGTGTTTTTTAAACTTTAAACCGCATAAACACATTTCATTACACCAAATACACAAAATAATGTTCTTTTTAGCAGCATCATATGACCCCTTTAAGTGGCAATTTACAGGAGATCTGAAGACATCAGTATACTAAATGAGGTGAGAACAGGAACTATTGACATGAAATAAAGAGTCTTTTCTGCAGCTGTTAATATTGATGAGCCTCAGACGATCAACACTCATTCAACAAGACATTCAGGATCAGCAGCAGATTGTGTTTGCTGTTAGAAACAGATTATTTGAGTCGGGATATATGCTAAAAGTGTTCTACTGAAAGATAATACTGTTATTTCTTTCAATATGACATAATACAAAAACAAACACTAATGTAACCCATATTCATTAAGCACTCCAGCTAAATAACTACAGCAACATGTCCATATTGATCTAAATATAGTTTGATTTTCTAATAAGTATATTCATTGCAGTAAAGTAATTATAACTTAAATGTTAGTTTTGTGTGCAGAAACTGACAACAATCATAAAACTTCCAGCAATACAAAGCACCTAAGCACTAATATTTCCAGCGTCAAACTACATTCATATTTACCTACAGTATATTAACATTTATGTGAAGTATTTAGCAGAATCTGTTCCTGTATATTTTTACCATGTAAAGTAACTAACAAAATCGGTCCAAAGATGTATTCCCCAGGATTCCCCTCAGAGCTGGATTCCCCTCAGTTCCCCTCACAAATCTCAAACTGTTTCCCTCACATGCTCGCCGCTGCTGGTTCACTAAATGTTTACTTCGTTAGGAAGACGCCAGAACTGACGCACATGCACTGTGCCCGAAGAAAACAATGCAGAAATAAGCCTGTAAAATGTCACTTAAACAAACACAAATGTAGTGTGTTTGATGCTTGTGGGAGGTACATGAGCAAAAACAGTCATTAGGCCAAAGCTTTTTTCATCTAATGTTTTTTTATTTATTTGAGTTCCTATTGTTTTAATGTTAATATGGTGTTAATATGTGTTAATATGAACTTTAAATTACGCATTAAGGATGCTGTTTGTTTTTTTGAAACACAAAACAAATCTTTAGAATGTGTTAACTTTCTTATCCTTGGGGCAAAATTTTATTTTCACAAAGATTTCTTAGAAAAAACACCTACCTTTATAGATTTCTTATGTGAAGTAGAATATTTAATTCAATAACTAAGAATAATTCATAAAAAAGTACTTATTTTTTTGAAGAAATATGAGATCTTTCATGTACCATGATTGATGCCTGTTTTGCTGTGCTTTTTTCTGTTTTGTTCCTTCCTTTTTGTTGTATGTACAAAAATTACTGTACTTATGTAATATGTACTTTTGCTGGCAATGTTCTACATTTCCAAAATATGTGTTTGCACTATTGTTACATCTAATGAAATATGAAATATTAATAACAACAACAATAATAATAATAACAACAATAATAACAAAACAGTTTTGCCTACCATCTACACAGTCATATACACCTAGGATGGCTTGAGAGTGAGTAAGTCATGGAGTAATTTTCATTTGTGTGTGCCTTGTCTGTGAAAGTGGGCATATAATCGTCATGATTTATTTCACTACAACTCTTAAACTCTTACCATCTTTTGCATC